CTTCTCTAGAATGTTCCATGAACAGTGGCTTGCCTGTCATAAACTTCAGAGTAGGAATCCTCCCCAGGGTGTGTAATTTCCATGCATGGCTAGGGTTTACCTATGACCTCTCCTCTCTCTGAGACAGGGTTAGTCTTCCCATGCTGTCCTCCAAAACACAGATGTGTAACCTAATTGGTTTCACAGAGACCCTGAGCTCCGAGATGAGTCCCAGAGCAACCTAGTGAGATGGTGGATGGCAGGCCAGGGGACCAGGGGAAGGAGCAGTTAACCCTGCAGGGGTTCTGAAGACATGGGCCTGGGGTGTGATATGGGGCAATCAGAAGCAGCTGTACATCTCACACTCAGACCACATCTAGTTTTGAGGTCAGCGGGTCATTCCACACCAGCACATTCGTGGAGAACCTCAGCACAGCATCATCTCCTTGTGTCTTCTACCCCATCTCCATGATCACACACCCTTCCCCAGCTGCCAACAGGCTCACACCCTCCTCCATATTACCCCTTCCTGCAGTTGAAGCTCCCAGACTTCTCTCTGCTGCTCATGGCCTCTCTGTGCCTCCCTAGCAGCTCGCAGGTCTGAGTTCAAGAGGCAGAAGCGGATTTCTGAACAGCTCCTCCCCAGTGCAGCAGTCAGCGTAGTCCCGGCCCTCACAGCTCCCTCGGTGTCCCACGAACCAGCAGAGAACACTCCCAACCTCCTCCTCACCAGGACAGAACGAGAGTAAGTAGATCACGGGCTGGGCAAGCCCACCTCATCACAGGATGGAGAGTGGAGGGGCTGAGGGACATGGGGGTGGCTCTGCCTTGCTCACATATTCAAGGTGATTGTGCTGGGGCCACGTGGGCCTGGGCCTGCTTCCTGCTTTAGGGCTGTTCTATGGGAACTCAGTGGTGTTGACTCAACAGGCCCCTTCTCTAGCCAATGGTAAATGACCCACAAGTGCACATTTTTGGCTTTGAGAGTCCCCTGCCCCTCCACCCTGCAATATCTGCCTTTTAGATACCATATCCTAGCTGGGTATGGGGGCACACCGCTGTGATCCTCCTCACCAGGACAGAACGAGAGTAAGTAGATCACGGGTTGGGCAAGCCCACCTCATCACAGGATGGAGAGTGGAGGGGCTGAGGGACATGGGCGTCGCTCTGCCTTGCTCACATATTCAAGGTGATTGTGCTGGGGCCACATGGGCCTGGGCCTGCCTCCTGCTTTAGGGCTGTTCTATGGGAACTCAGTGGTGTTGACTCACAGGCCCCTTCTCTAGCCAATGGGAAATGACCCACAAGTGCACATTTTTGGCTTTGAGAGTCCCCTGCCCCTCCACCCTGCAATATCTGCCTTTTAGATACCATATCCTAGCTGGGTATGGGGGCACACCGCTGTGATCCTATTATCTGAGAGGCAGAGGCAAGAAGATGGCGGGTTCTATACCAGCCTGAGCTAGACAGTAAGAACTTGTCTAAAAATGAAAAGATGGATTCTACTTCCAGGGGACTAAGAAGCAACCATGTACGTGCCGGCCGTTTCTCTCTCTCTCTCTCTCTCTCTCTCTCTCTCTCTCTCTCTCTCTCTCTCTTCTCTCTCTTTCTCTCTCTCTCTCTCTCCTTCTTGTGTGTACTTGAAGATGTGAGCTCTCAGCTTTCTAATCCAGCTGTCTCCTGCCACAGCTCCTCACCATGATGGACTCTTATCCCTCTGGAACCATAATCAAATGCTTCTTCTCTTTCTCTCTCTCCTCTCTCCTCTCTCTCCTCTCTCTCTTTCTCTCTCCTCTCTTTCTCACTCTCTCCCCTCTCTCTCCTCTCTCTCCTCTCTCTCCCTCCCTCTCTCCTCTCTCTCTTTCTCTCTCCTCTCTCCTCTCTCTCCTCTCTCCTCTCTCTCTTTCTCTCTCCTCTCTCTCTCTCCTCTCTCTCCTCTCTCTTTCTCTCTTTCCTCTCTCTTTCTCTCTCTCCTCTCTCCTCTCTCTCGCCTTTCTCTCTCTCTCCTCTCTCCCATCTCTCTCCTCTCTCTCCTCTCTCTCTCTCTTCTCTCTCCTTTCTCTCTCTCCTCTCTCTCTTTCCTCTCTCTCCTCTCTCCTCTCTCTCCTCTCTCTCTCTTCTTGCCTGTCTCTCTCTCCCCTCTCTCCTCTCTCTTCTCTCTTTTCTCTCTCTCTCTCTCTCCATTCCCATGTAAGAATACAAGGAGAAGGTCAAACCAGGAAGTGAGTCCTCACCAGATTTGGTCTGCCTTGACCATGACTTTTGATGTACCTTGACCTTTGGATGCATCTTGACCTTGGATGCACCTTGACCCTTGGATGCCCCTTGGCTGACCTTCACAACTATGAGAAACAAGTGTTTATAGTTTAATTGAAGAAGTCTGGGGTGCTTGTTATAGCTGAAAATTCAGACAGCATCCCTGTCAAAACATCTTCCTAATAGCTTGCCCTACTCAGCGTAGAAGCATGTACCTGGCAGAGACCAGGCCTCAGGAGCTCCCAGTTTCATTCCTAAGGCATCCTCTCTCTTTCTCTCTCTCCTTTCTCTCTCTCTTTCTCTCTCTCTTCTCTCCTTTCTCTCTCTCCTCTCTCTCTTTCTCTCTCCTCTCTCCTCTCCTCTCTCTCCTCTCTCTCTTTCTCTCTCCTCTCTCTCCTCTCTCTCTCTTTCTCTCTCTTCTCTCTCCTTTCTCTCTCTCCTCTCTTTCTCTCCTCTCTCTCCTCTCTCCTCTCTCTCTCTTTCTCTCTCTCTCTTTCTCACTCTCTCCCCTCTCTCTCCTCTCTCTCCCTCCCTCTCTCTCCTCTCTCTTTCTCTCTCTCCTTTCTCTCTCTCTTTCTCTCTCTCTTCTCTCCTTTCTCTCTCTCCTCTCTCTCTTTCTCTCTCCTCTCTCCTCTCCTCTCTCTCCTCTCTCTCTTTCTCTCTCCTCTCTCTCTCTTTCTCTCTCCTCTCTCCTCTCCTCTCTCTCCTCTCTCTCTTTCTCTCTCCTCTCTCTCTCCTCTCTCTAAGCTAACCCTCTCTCTTTCTCTCTCCTCTCTCTTTCTCTCTCTCTCCTCTCTCTCCTCTCTCCTCTCTCTCCTCTCTCTTTCTCTCTCTCTCCTCTCTTTCTCTCTCTCTCCTCTCTCTTTCTCTCTTCTCTCTCTCCTTTCTCTCTCTCCCCTCTCTCTCTTTCTCTCTTCCCTCTCTCCTCTCTCCTCTCTCTCTTTCTCTCCTCTCTCTTTCTCTCTCTCTCCTCTCTCTCTCTCTCTCTCTCTCTTCCTTCCCCTCCCTCCCTCCTTCCCTCCCTTCCTCTCTCTCTCTCTCTCTCTCTCTCTCTCAGCAGTTTTCCTCTGAACTCCTTTCTGTTCAGCCCCATTCTCCATTGCTTCTTAGAATACACTTGGGACCCTGTTCTGCAGTGACCCGCGCTGGTTTGTACAATCATGCTTGTTGCTCCTGTGTATAATCCTGCCCAGCAGATGGCCTTCAGCATCGTGGTCTAAACTGAATCTGTCTACCCTTGCAGTCTGCCTGGACTCAGCATAGGCATATGAAGAGAGAGTGAGAAGAGAGAGGGGAGAGAGGCATATTTGCCACGGTGAGCCAGGACTTAGGAATACAGTAAGAGATAAGACACTGTACTGAAAGACCCCCTGTCTCATAGCCTGGACAAAGAACACAGCTGGACCCCAAGTGTGACAGTCCTTTAAGGGCAGAGCCCAAAGGACTGTGGGAGTGCAGGTTGTAAGGCCTCAGGAGGTACTTCCTGGAGGAAGCAGTATCCTAGCCAAAAGCCAAAGGAAGCTAGAGGGAAAGGCATTTTTGACAGAGGGAACGGCATGTGCAAAGGCCAGGAGGTATGGGTGCCATTTCCTTTGAAGAACCAGATGACTGTGCCAGATTCCAGAGAGGAGATGGTGGGTGTTGAGCAATAAAGGCAGAGAAGCAGATAAGGGGAGTCTAGGGGGCCCTGCAGGGCCTCAAATTTCATGGTTGGCAGTTTAGGCAGTGACTGGCTCGGAAAGACCATGGGTAAATGACGTCCAGTTCTGGCGGTAGTGAGTATGGAAGTGGCATGGCATTGTTTGTGGTTTAGGAGTTCTCTGGCTGCTATGGGGGCCAGCGCAAAGGTCTTGGGAGTCAGGCAGAAGCTGAGAAAGCTGCTTCAGTAGGGGAAAGGTGACTTGGCTCCAGAAATGGAGAGACTTCTGAGAGGGGTGCTGTGGTGGCAAACCCCTGGGGACTTGGTGGTTATTATCCTCAGGGGCTATGAGGAAGGAAAAGGCCTGAAGGACTGGATTCTGCTGGCCAGTTAGCTGGTTGCAGGTCCGTGGCAGAACCAGGATCCAGTCTGCCCAGAAAGATGAACTACAGTCCCACCTGATCCTCAGCAATTAATGAGTTAAGTCAGGAAGCCCCAGGGCCTGACAGACTCAGCCAGAGGGTAGGGGCCACCCAAGGGTGGTCTCAGGCCAGGGAGCTAGCTCTATGTCCTGGGATTAACCAGTGCCAGGAACTCTGACTCTCCTGAAGTCACCACAGCCCCTGTGCTTTGCCTTGGAAACCCCAAGTGTCTCCCTGGGAATCGCCAAGGAGACCCACGCCCAGTGCACACATAGCTTGCTGGGACTTGGCCAGAGGGAGGTCTCCCAGACCTTCCTGGGCAGCCAGTCCAGAGATCATGTTTAAAAGTGGCACCAGGAGACGATCACTCAAGAGTCCAGGGACCCTGAGGGAAGCCCCCAGCCTGGACACTATCTACAGAATGGATATAGAACCCACCTCAGCTCAGAAGACAGCCATGCCAAGCCCAGACTCTAGCAGTGCTCCATATGTGGGGTCTGTGTCAGGCATTGGGTGGGATCATCATCAACAGAGCCAGCAAGACCCACAGAACCCTGAGAGCCTAGTGAGGTAGGGGCCTAGTAGGCAGAAACATTCGGTGCTACCTCCTCAAGTAACTCGGTGCTTTGGACAGAAGGTGGTCTGTGACTAGAGGTTTCACGGGGCCCTCCAGGCAGTCTGCAGACAGCACCTTCGTCTTTCAGCCTGCTCACTCTGCAGCACTGGGAGCCCTCGGAGTCCCCTTGTCCAATCTGCTACCCTTAACTCTACTTCCTGGAATGTTTCCCAGAGCCTGAGGTGAAATGGTGTCTGGGGTTATGACATGGGGCTCTTGGTCTCTGCCTACCTGTGTCAGGGCTGGGGAAGCAGATGCACAAGTGACTTCTGCCAGAACAGTGGGAAATGCCTATGGGGACAGGAGGGTGTGGCTGAGCAAGGCAGCAGGGCGCTCTGTCCAGCCACAGCTTCCAGAAGGTGTCAAGGTGTGTGGCAAGGAAAGTTTCAGAATCACTAGACTACACAGTCTGACCCTGTGCCTGCTAGAAAAGGACAAAAGCACCACACTCTTCACTGGGTCCCTGGACCTCTGTTCCTTGTTTCTGTCTTTTCCCAATACTCCAGCCAGGCCATCCAGGACCTACAAGCAGAGGTGTCACGCCTCCGCCTTCGATTGGAGGACAGCCTACACAGGCCACCCCCAGGCAGCCCCACACGCCTAGCATCTGCTTTCAACCACCCAATCCGGACCCAGGACCAGCCAGCAGATTCTTCACCTGCCTGGGTCTCCCACTGTAGCAGGTAGGTGACCCCCCAAAACTCCCACCTTTGTGTCCTGCCTGTAGAGTTAGCCAGCTTCTAGCCTCTCTGGGCCCATGGACTCAGTCTCTCTCTCTCTCTCTCTCTCTCTCTCTCTCTCTCTCTCTCTCTCTCTCTCTCTCTTCCCTCCCCCCCATATCCACCTGGTCAGTCATCCCCTCTTTTTTTTTTTTTCCTTATGTTTTATTTTTATGGGGGGGGGGGATGTGCCAATTCTGGGGGGGGGGCCCCCAACACACAAGTCCTTTTTTTTT